GGTGGTTTGCTCAACGTTCACACCTCCCATCTTGTTCATGGACAATCTGGGGTATTTCTTGAACTCATGAGAGCTGAAGAAGTGGCTTGATGGCTTGAAGGAGCTATGAGGAAGCTATAGGTGAGGGTCTTCAACACCATCTGTCTTCCACATATAATGCCACTTTAATATTCCTACCATGATGATGTGCCATGTGACATCAAGGATGGAATTATGTTACTAGAACAGGGGGCTCAACAACTCTCAAACTGCCCATTCTCTACTTACACAATCAACATCTGCCTGGACACATTCCAGGATGATCAGATTCAGGTGTCTGTGATACCTGTATGGCTTATAGGAGCTACAAGGAAGCTATGGGGGGAAACCTTCGACACCATCCAGTCTTCCATGTTCCTGACACTTATTAGAGCTGAAGAAGTGTTTTGGAGAAGCTTCAAAAAGTCTTCAACATTACACAACAAGTCCAGTTGAACGTGACCAACTACTACTAGCTATACCATGACCTGGATACATGAGAACCTTCACCGACACACTGACAGCAAACATCGCTAGTAGTAGTCCAGTTGAACTGGACTAGATCTGTAATGTTGAAGACGTTTTGTATCTTCTCCAAGACACTTCATTAGTTCTGATGGAACTGGAGAAGATACAAAAAGTCTTCAACGTTACACAACAAGTCCAGTTGAATGTGACCAACTACTACTAGCTATACCATGACCTGGATACATGAGAACCGTCATCGTTTCTTCATCAGTTCTAATGGAATTGGAGGAGATACAAAAAGTCTTCAACGTTAAAGATACAAGAGCAAGTCCAGTTGAATATGAATAACTACTACTGGCTATATCATGAAATGGATAGATAGCAACCTGCATGGATACGGAGTAGGACACTCACTTTGGTGAGGGAGGAGAGCCGGAATCCTCTGGCCTTGTCCTTGCCGGCGTTCTCGTTCAGGCAATTGCCCAGCGCCAAGACGTAGCTCAGCACCGCCGAAAAAGCTTGGCTCCTCAGAAGCTGGCTACAGGCTTTGATCTTCTGCACAAGAAGCTGCTGGGACAGAATCTGCTCAGTTCCATTCATCACTGTTAACAATCTCACCTTATTCATATTTTACATAGTATTAATGACGTTGGAAGGTAGACAAGACCAATATGACTTCCATGGTGCCATTATATGGAAACTAAAGTCACGTCAAAGTGATCAAAGGTAAACTCCGTGTTACCTGCCAAAGTATATCTATTTCTGCCCACCAATTCCTGAAATATACACAGCCCCCATGACAGCACGGCTGGCCCGTGACCTCACTTTTCCCTCGTGCATTTATAGAATGAAGAATTGGTCAGGTCCTCGCCCCCAGCCTGTGATTGGACAGTGTAGGAGCAGTAAGCACGCTGCTGAATTCTTTCTGCTTTCTTTTATGGGATTTCCATCAAATATACATAGCCATAGACTTTAGGGATTAGTAGGTGTACACGATGTGTTCCAGGTCTGTATGCTCCTCGACAGGCTTACCGGTTGCAGGTATGTCATATGGCCGGGGAGCTCTCGTACTGTCAGCAGAGTGTCGAGTCTCGGGCACAGATCGGGAATCTTACACATCTGTAGGAAACAGAAATGAGGAATGGAGAATGAGTTCAGAGCATGAATGTAACACCCACTGCAGTACAGCGCCCCCTCTGGTCTGAACACTTTAGTGCAGGAAGTAACAGGAAGCTGAAATGAAGCCACTCCCTATACTTGCTGCTTTTAAACATATATTTGAAAAGTTTGTAAGGCTCCTCTCCTGGACTGAAATGGCTTACTCTGATGTATCTGCACACTGGGAGCTTCTCACAATGTGCATTAGAAGCTGCAGCAAGTCAGATAGAATTATTTCCTGATTGGAGGACATCCAGCTTAATCTAGCCTTACTGTCTCTGGCCCCACCCCTTTCATTCATTGGATTTCAGTTTTTTCAATCATGGAGGCTCAGTGTCACAAGTCTGGTCTGCATGCCTAGGAACAACACTTCTTCAGAATGACATCCACCCATCAAGGCATTTTGATATTTGCATAACTCCTCCCATGAGCACGCCCGCTGCTAGCATCAGGGCTTAGGGCTCTTGAGGGGAGTACTGAGCCAGGGTGCTGTGATGTTTTCAGAAAGCTATGGCCCCTCCCGCCAGCCTGCATTGTATAGAGAAGCAAAGAGGCCCAGTGATGACGTCGCCAGGTCTAAAATAAGGTATGCAATGAAAACGAAAAGATGTATCTACAGGCAAAATACAAGCAGAGGAATGAGATATGAAAATGCAAAATTGGGGGATAGAAGTACGATAGAAATGCAAAAGTCATATTATTGATATAACAGTGTTTCCATTGACTAATGCCCTTTTCACCAATCGGCTCCTCTATTTATTTACAAGATTTTTTTTAAAATGTTTTTTCTGGGCCACTTCTCACCAGAACCTGTGGAAGAGTTGTATTCCTTTGTCCAAATGCTCTGTGGCGGAGGAGAAAGTCAATTCATCTGATGAATTAATACAAAGTCCCCTCCCCCCACCCCTTCTCCCAGTACATGGATGTTACTTCACCTCTCCGGTGCGGAAAGAAAAACGCAAGCGATGACAAAACCCGCGTTCAATGAGGAGCTCGTGTCACAAATACACTCCGCTGTTTTTCTTTGTATGGACTCTTTGTGTACGGAGTAATTATGCCGACAATAATTACACTTCACCGTGAATGTCTTTGTTCTCTACCTTTTGTTTCATAGGCTCTTTTGTGTGAGGCGGTGGAATCGGGGCAGAAGGCAACTTGCTCATTAGGGAAAGTTTTCGAGGCACGGCTGATGACGGGGAATATGGGAGCGTAGTAAAAAAAAAAAGAAGCATGAAAACATTTTTTGGCAATAATATCACAAAAAAATGTGAGGGGGGGGGAGCACTTGTGTAGATGCATGTTGGCTGGGAGGGGTGGCGCACCCTCTGGTCATGCTCTATAGTGCAAAATTCAAGGTACCTTAGAGGGGTGGTGTACTTTCTGGTCTTTCCCCTTTTCAGTAAAGTACAATGACTGGAAGGGGAGGTGTACCTTCTAGATATGCCCCTGTTGGGAAATGCACAGTAGCTGGGAGGAGTGGCGTACGTTCTGATTACACTCCATTTGGTAATACATCATGGAGGGCAAGGGTGACATACCTTCTGGTCTTGCCCATTTTTGGTAATGCATGGTGGCTGAGAGGGGTGACGTGCCTTCAGGTCATGACTTTTTTTGCTAAATGCACAGTGGCTGAGAGAGGTGGTGTACCTTCTGGTCAATCTCCTTTTTTACAAAATGCATGGTGGCTGCGAGGGGTAGCATGCCTTCTGGTTACATCCATTTTTGGTAATGCATGATGGCTGGAAAGGGTGGTGTATCTTCAGGTCACGTCCTATTTTGAAAAAGCTTGGTGGCTGGGACGGGTGGCGTACTTTCTGGCCATATACGTTTTTGGAAAGTATGTTGTTTGGAAGAAGTGGTGTATCTTCTGTTCACGTTCTATTTTGAAAATGCATGGTGGCTGGTAGGAGTGGCGTACCTTCTGGTCAGGCCCCTTTTTGATAATGCAAAGTAGCTGGGAGAAGTGATGCACCTTCTGATCACGCCCCTTGTTACAGTATCCATCATACCTGAGACGTGTGAGGTGCCTTCAGGTCACACCCCTTTTTGGGAATGCACAATAGCTGGGAGATGTGGTGCACCTTCTGGTCACACCCCTTTCTGGAAAGTTACCTTTTGTCATCAGTCAGTAAAAAAGATTTTTGTTGCTCTGTTTGAGGACTAAGACTGGTTGTATGCAGAATTAGGATCTGACTGCCTCACCACATCTTTTGACATGACCTTAGCCTGAAGCCTGAATACTTTGGTGGCACGGCCATTCCCTTTAAGGCCATGATATCACAGAGGTGCAGCACACATGCATCAGGCAGTTCAAAGAATTTTGTTATAGAGGACACAGTTGCGATTGGACAAGGATGATTAAACTGCTGGCTTGCCTTCTATTTGAAATCGATTGGCCATCAGATGCTCCAAGCCCCAAGATCATCTCCTCATCTGGCCATAAAGAAGACTGTTGATGGTTGCCTGTAGTTCAGATTTTTTCTAGGCGCTCCTTCTCAGCTGATACCCAAGCTACATTTGTGCCACCACCATCCAAAGTTCTGAAGCCCAGCACTACCCAACACATTCACACAGATCATGTACCAGTAGGCACCTCTAGATGAAGTTTATGAGACAGCTACTACCATCACAAATATGTGATCTTGTGTAGAATATTAAAAGCCTTCTAGGTATGCTTTGTACTTGCATGATAAAATGGAAAGGAACGGTGTTAGAATGTTAAAGAGGGGATGGCCTACTACCCTAAACCAGAGCCACATGGATGTTCCTCATATCCAGGCCTGGTTGGACTATTTACAGCACTTTAGCCCAATCAGCCCATTAAATTCAACAATTTCCATTGAGATTAACCCATTGCAGGAACTCTACACTTTTTAAGGTCACAAGACAAAACCTTGGGGTATGTTTCCAGAGTAAATGTTTCTTGGCTACAGAATTAGAGTTATTGCCCGATAGCTCCATCTATTACACAAGGTGTGCTTACCTGCAGCATGAACTGGTCCACGATATGAAGCTCGGACGGGGGTCCCTTGTAGCTTAGATACATGTTGATATCTTTTATTGTGGGGACGTATCTAAAACAGAATGAACAGAAGTTAGTTAAACCCCCTTTGTCTAACATAGATTTCCCCTCACTTCCTGTGTGGTCACTCGGGACAGTGAATATCACTGCCAAGTAACACATAAAGGACGAAAAACCCTCATTATTACATCAGTCACCTTCTGAGATGAGTCAGATGTTCATCCGACAATCCGCCATCACACTCTCTTATAATTAACAGTTTCTCTTTCAGCTGCTCGGGATCCAAGTGAAAACTTTTCAGAACAATATCTGGAGAGAGGAAATGTGCCGTGAGGTCACCAAGAAATAAAAACACGTTTTCTGGTAAATAAAAATTGTACAATGGATATAAATTATGCTGTTAAAAGGATATTCTTGATTTTAGGAATTTTGGGCAATGAAGGGAAGTCTGGAGTTCAGCTTTTAATACATAAAAAAAAAAAACCCACAGGATAACAAAGTAGAGCCCAATGACCAGTCAGAGGGGAACACTTACTAAAATTATGAGCAATTTTCTTATCTAGAAGAATATTCTGAATCTTTGACATGTCTGACTCCTGGGTGGTTGACACATCACTGGTTTGGAACTGGTGCAGGATCCTCTGGACATCGATTTTCTTCTGAATGGAATTCTGGGCCCATATGGATTTACCGATCTATGAAGACAAAAAGGATACATTATATAACTAATAAATGAATGACATGCATATGCTACATATTGACAGCTTATTAGGTTACATTTTTCAGATATAGGTAACCATTCTAGTTTTTGGCCAGGTTCTCCTCACACATCTGCTTTGTGACATTGTTATGTAATCGAAGTACTGTCCAGGACAAGGTTCTAGGACCTTCCTGCCAAACTTGCAGCTGAAGGGCCATATGCAGTCCATTGGAACTTGTTGTGTGGCCCTTGGACCTTAGCAGCAGTATATAGTGGGAATGGAACCATTGGTTTGTTAATGGGTAATGGTAATCTCTACTAGCCTTATGCAACATGTTTCCAGTCTCCAACCAAATCTTCAGCATGTCCCCAGTCTCCAACCAAATCTTCAGCATGTCCCCAGTCTCCAACCAAATCTACAGCATGTGCCCAGTCTCCAACCAAATCTACAGCATGTGCCCAGTCTCCAACCAAATCTACAGCATGTCCCCAGTCTCCAACCAAATCTACAGCATGTCTCCCAGTCTCCAACCAAATCTACAGCATGTGTCCAGTCTCCAACCAAATCAACAGCATGTTCTCAATCTCCAACCAAATCTGCAGCATGTCCCCAGTCTCCAACCAAATCTACAGCATGTCCCCAGTCTCCAACCAAATCTGCAGCATGTCCCCAGTCTCCAACCAAATCTGCAGCATGTCCCCAGTCTCCAACCAAATCTCAAGCATGTCCCCAGTCTCCAACCAAATCTACAGCATGTCCCCAGTCTCCAACCAAATGTACAGCATGTTCCCAGTCTCCAACCAAATCTGGAACATGTCCCCAGTCTCCAACCAAATCTGGAACATGTCCCCAGTCTCCAACCTATTCTGAAGCATGTCCCCAGTCTCCAACCTATTCTGAAGCATGTCCCCAGTCTCCAACCAAATCTACAGCATGTCCCCAGTCTCCAAACAAATCTGGAGCATGTCTCTCTCTGACCATCATTTCTGCTAGTATGTCTGCAATCTCTGACAGTCCCCTCTAGAAATACATATACTGAACATTATATAAAGCTCTTTGGTGACGCCAGGGCTGCATTTGAGCCCCTTTACTTCATACGTTAACAATTCTTGTTCTAGAACCTTACCAACAGGTAAATACTGTGTTTCAGCATCATGTATCCCTGTTTAACCAGAAGGAAGTCAATGAAAGGTCAAGTGACCAATTGCATTGCTTTTCTGGATCCTTTATATCCTCCAAGGTCATCATATTGGCAAGTATGACAATTCAGTTCTTTAGCACCCTCCGTAGAGAGTCGGAGACATGCTACAGCCACATCTCCTCTCCATTGCTGCTGACGGTTGAGGAGCTTTGGCTGTAACTTGTTTCATACTTAAAAAACTTGACTTTGGGACGAGCTTGTGCACCATCCAGGATATCTACTTCAACCCTTGATGGGCCTAAAGTTTTTTTAGTCTTCAGTATTTTATTCAGTCCATCATGGGCCACCAAAAATGTGTAAGATTATTTCAATTTAGATAAAGTAATTGTGCTGTTGGATTTGGAATGCAATACAGCAATGGACAATGATCAGGAGTGGAAAGAGTGCACCAAACAGTCATTACCAAACTAGGTCTAAAGTGACCTTTCTCGGCACCCAATCATATTGCATGTGTGACTCTTTGGCAGCTCCTCGATTACAGGAAAAAAAACCCTGGGCTTCGGCTTATTAATTGAAACAATTTTGTGATCAACTAAAAATGCTGTACCTTGTCTTGAGGCACCACGTTCCAATGAAAAGCTTTGGTCCGCTTTGCGGTGTTCTGGCGTGGGGGAAGCATGGGCGGAGGGGGAATATATGGAGGTATAACAATTCTTGAATTATCTGGAAAGTTTTTTCCATTCTTCAGCGGCTCTTCTGCTGGGCTTGTATGGTCCGAAAGCCTAAAATTAATCCTTGGAATACACGTTATGTCTTTATAAGGCTCAAGGAGGTTTGTCATTTCGCCATTCGAGGGGGAGTCTTGAGGGCTGGGCGGGGCCTGCGACGGGTTATAGTTGAAGTCTATAGCCTCATATATGCTATTCCTGGGAGAAGGACTCCGCTGACTCCGCCCGCATTGTTCCTGGAGAAGCGACACCCAGTCATCTCTCATGGTGAAGCTCTTTTCCACACCTCTGTTGTGTTCGTTTATGGGTATACGAAATCTTAAGGGGAAGAAGTAGAAAAAGATAAGTTATATTTTCCATCTTAATATTGTTTTGGCTAGAAATACACACTGGGGTCTATTTATTAATTTTGTTTTCAACCAAAATGTACCAAACCTTCCCCCAAGATTCACACATTTATATTTGCATGAATCAAGGGGGAGGGCGTTTCTCAATAGGACACTTT